CACACACACACACACACACACACACACACACACACACACACACACACACACATTCTTAGGAACATGCAGTGACACACGCCTTTAATTACAGCCCTTGGGGGCAGAGGCAGGCAGATCTCTGAGCTTGAAACCAGCCTGGTCTACAGAGCGAGTTCCAGGTCAGCCAAAACTACACAGAGAAATAACGTGTGGCTAAAATAAGAAGGTTAGAAAAATCCTCGTCTCAGATTCCGAACAAAAAATAATCGACAAGAATATAGTTGTAAGTATCAAGTCCCCATGAAATTCCCTCAGGACTCAGCCCAGAACTCAACGATGCAGTACCCTCTGGTGGACAGAGCTGGTTTTGCAGCCAAGCTAGTTAGGCATTTAGAAACAATTGAAAAGTAAGAGTAAAAACAGAGGAAGTGGGGGCGGGGCTGCAGCTTGTCAGCTTGTCAATGCATATATTGACTAGAGAGAGAGAGAGACAGACAGACAGACAGAGTCAGAGTCTCTGTGTAGAGTTGGCTGGCCTGGAACTATGTAGGCCAGGCTGGCCTCAAACTCACAGAGATCCGCCTGCCTCTCTGCCACCCAACTCTTGAGATTAAGAACCTTCACCACCATGCCTGGGAGGGCTGTGAGCATGGACTCTGGCAGGTAAGATATCTGTACCATAGACAGGCCCCTGGGTCTAAGCGAAGTCGTACTTGCCAACGGCGTAGGCGTAGGCCCCCGGCCAGAGGTTGGAGCGCACAACGGCCACCGAGTATTGAGGGCTGAGGCTGCAGGAGAGGCGGGTGGTCCAGGGCGACAGGTGCATGATCTCTGTTGTGAGAAGGACAGGAAGGGGCAGCAGGGCCAAGGGTGTCCACAACCTGCCTTGCCACGTGGGCAGAGAGAAGTGATAGAGGGGACCAGGCAAGAGCTACAAATCCCACTAAGAGCCCTGACTCTCTCTCCTGATGTGGCCCCAAGGAAGCCACTTTACCTGTTGTTTCTGTGACCCTCCCAAGGAAATAATGACACTCGTGTCACTTCCCTTGCTGGGTGGCAGTGAGGTCTGGTGGCCACCAGCAGGGAGCTACAAGCATTCTCCTGTGGGCTGCACCGCTTCAGACCAGGGTGCTGTGTGTAGCTCATGCACAGGACCTGGGCCATCCCAGCCTTGCCCCTTCCTCCAACAGCCAAGACCTCATAGAATTCCTGTGATGAATACAAAATCCAGCTCCCGGCTGCTTCTCCTGGGGGAGGTCCCTAACTCTCCCTTTCCCAAGCTCTAGTGGGACTCAAAGACTGTATCCTGGCTAGGAATAGGGGCATACATAATAATCCCAGCACTCGAGAGACCAAAGAAGATTGCTTAGAGTTTAAGGGCAATCTGGGCTACAAAGTGAGGCCTGCCTGAAACAGCAACCCCTATGACAACCCCCCCCCAAAAGAGAGAAAATTAGAGAAGAGACTCTGTCTCAAGACCATGATAATTATCCCAAGTCAGACAAGGCTCAGAGACAAGATTATCACATTCCCTCAGATGTGTGAGGCTTAAAAACAAAAAACAAACCTACAAAAATCTGAGTCTTCAGCTAGACAGATGTCTCAGAGGTTAAGAGCACTGGCTGCTCTTCCAGAGTTCCTGAGTTCAATTCCCAGCAACCACATGATGGCTCACAAGCATCTATAATGAGAACTGATGTCCTCTTCTGGTGTGCAGACTCACATGCTGATAGAGCACTCAATAAATGAATATTAAAAACAAACCAAAACAAAACAGGGTCTTGCCCATCGTAATGGTGCCCACCTTTAATCCCAGCACTCAGGAGGCAGAAGCAAGTGGATCTCTGTGAGTTCGAGGCCAGCCTGGTTTGGGACAGCCAGGGCTACACAGAGAAACCCTGTCTTGAAAAACCAAACCAACAAAACCAAACAGGGTGTCATGCAGCCCAAGCTGGGGTCTTAGGCTCCTTGTGTAGCTGAGGGTGACTCATGTCTGTTCTCATGCTCATGCTGGAATGACCAACTTGTGTTCTCAGTCTGGCCTGATGCCCACTGCACATTAAAAATACCCACTGAGGCTCAGAAAATGAGTGACACCAGTGTTTCCAGGGGCTGCTGCCCCAAGGGGGACTTACCCGCATCTTCTGAGAGAGGAGTCAGAAGTGGGGGGCCGACCTCCTGCTCCACCTCCTCTGCCCCCTCATCCGCCTTCTCCTCCTCCTCCCCGAGCTCCTCCTCCTCCTCGGTCTTCTGCAGTGGGTTCACCCACGTACAGCGGCCCTGGGGGAGCGGCAGGAGAGTCAGTTGACACCCCAGGATAGAGCCTCACCTACTGTGGGAGAAGGTGAAGGGACAGACAGGCCCCTGAAACACTGGGCCTGTCCCTGTAGCTATCAGCTAAAAGGACTCCCAGGGCTGAGCAGGTGGCCCCAAGTATGTGCCAGCAACTGCTATAGCGCAGCAGCTTCTAAAGCTGGACGCACTGTGAGAAAATTGGCCTCAGTATTTCTGCTCAGGGATTGCTGTTACTCAATAGTTGGAGGGCCACCTGCGCCTCCCTCCCTGGACTGCCGTTGAGCTCTGTCGAGTCAACAAGCACTCCTGCTGGTGTCTCTGTCCCTCTTCTCTCTTTCTCGATCTGTGTGTGTGTGTCTGTGAGAGAGAGAGAGAGATTAAAAGAGAGAGAGAGAAAGAGATTGATATCAGGGAAGCATTCTACTGAACTATAGTCTCAGCTTTGTTTATCTTGTTTTTGTCTTTGTTTTTTGTTTTTGTTTTTGTTTGAGACAGGGTTTCTCAGTGTAGCCCCTGGCTGTTCTAGAACTTGCTGTGTAGACCAGGCTGGCCTCAAACTCACAGAATTCTACCTGCCTCTGACTCCCTAGTGCTGGGATTAAAACATCAGGCCCTGTTGTTTTAAACACAGGGTCTTATTTGGTGGTCTTGACCTCCCTCTGATAAATGATAGCTTTTTGACTAATAAATACAGGCAGGCACCCAGCATGCAGCTACCTCCCATTTCTTCAGCTGTGAACTGGGATCAGTCCTTGTTCTGATCACAAAAAGAGTTATGTTAAGCAAGTGTGGTAGCTTATGCCTGTTGTATTGGTTTGTTGTTGTTGCTGCTGCTGCTGCTGCTGCATCAGCTTTATACAAGCTAAAGTCTTCTAGGAATAGGGAATCTCATTGAGAAAAAGCCTCCATCATTGGCTTGCAGACAGGTCTGTGGGGAATTCTCCTGATTTTGATTGATGTGAGAAGGCTCGGCCCACTGTGATGGTGCCATCCCTGGGCCCAGGGTTGTATAAAAAGCAGGCTGATTCAAGCTATGAGGAGCCAGCCAGTAAGGACTCCTCCGTGACTCTGCTTCAGACCTCCATCCAGGCTCCCGCCCAGACTTCCCTCAGTGGATATGCAGCCGAATAAACCTTTTCCTTCCCAAGTTGCCTTTGGTCCTACTGCCTATCATAGCAATGAAAAGCAAATTAAGACACTTGCAGGCCAGCACTTGCTAGTCCGAGGCAGGGGGATCACCATGAGTCTAAGGCTAACATGCAGTACAGAGACTCTGTCTCAAGAAACAAAAAGGAAGGCAGGTGTAGTGGCGCATGCCTGCAATCCTAGCACTCAGGAGGCAGGGGCAGGCAGATCTATTTTGCGTTGGAGGACAGCCCAGTCTACAGAGTGAGCTCCAGGACAGCCAGAGCTAAATATTGAGACCCTGCCTTGGAAAGAAGAAAAAAGAAAACAAAAGAAACAAAATGTTAAGAGGGATTTATTTGAATGTAATCAAGCATTGCAGAGTCAATAACAGCTGATTGAACAAATCACTTCACTAGTGAATTAATTAAACCTTGCTTGCTGGTCCAGTGAGACAGATGGTTTAGTGAGTAAAAGTGTCTATGGAAAAGCCTGAGTTCAAGTCCCAGGACCTACATGGTGGAAGGATCTAGCTCCCAGAAGTTGTCTTCTGGCTTCCACTAACACAATAAATAAATAATAAGTTAAAATGTAATTTAAAAGTTTCTTGCTCCCAGCAGTCGTCATGGGATGACGAAGGATCCAACAGGCGCTCGACATGAGCATCACAGTTTCCTGTTCCCAACTCAAAAATCCAAAACACATGCTGAGCAGCGGAAGAAAAAAGGCCATTAGTCCCAGTATCTGTTACTGTAGCAGGTCTCCTCAGAAACCATCCAGCAGCAACCCTGGCCCAAACCTACGAGCGTTATTCCAATTTTAGGCAGAAATACCCACGTGTTCAAATGCTCAGTGCTGCCCTCACCTGTCCTGGGGCCTAGTGAGGGGTCTGAGTGCCTGCCACCTCCTTACAATCAGAAAGACCTGAAGGTCCCCAAAATCCATCTGACCCCAAAGCTTCTGTTGGGAGATTACCAACCAATCCCTATTCAAGGAAATAAGGAGGGCATGAGAAGTGGAGGAGCAAGTGATGGGTGGATGGATGGATGGACAGACGATGGATAGATGAATGGGTGGATGGGTAGGTGGGTGGGTGGATGGGTATATGGATTAGTAGACGGTGGCAGGAAATTTGATTCCATTGTGAACTCTGAGATTGTGAACTTTGTCTTTTGTCTGTTGTGGCTCGGCCCTAGCACACACCTTTAATCCAAGAGCTTTCCATACACAGGATTTAATGAAGTTAACCCTAGGTCAAGAGGCAGAGCAAGAAATCAGTTGACAGGGATTAAGTAGAAAGGGAGGCATTGAGTCGAGGGGCATTTAAGTCAGTGTTGAGAAGAAGGAGGAGCTCTTTGGCTTTTAGCTTTTTCCTCCTGGGCTAACAAGTGAGCTAACAGGCCTTTTCCATCTGGGATGTGAGCTGAGTAGAGGCCAGCTGGGTGCTTTCTCTGCGTCTCTGAGCTGGCAGGTTTTCACTGGCTCCTGAGTCTTTAATGGTAAAATCAAACTCCTGGAATTTTCTTTCTTTAAAACAACAGTAGATAGCTGGGTAGACGAATGGGGTGATGTATGAATGGATGGATGGACAAACAGCTAGGTTGACAGACCAGTGGATGAATGAACAAACCAATGGATAGACTGGCAGGTTCATGGATAATGGTTGGAAGGGAGGGTATGGGTTGAGAGTCTGGGTGATGGTTAAGTAGATGAATGGATGGGTTGGTGGGTGGATGGATGGGTAGATCACTGGATAGACGGATTCAAGGGAGAAGGATGTGTAGATGGGTGGATAGACCAGTGGGTAGGTGGATGGATCCATGGCTGGATGGTTGGCTAGGTGGATGGACAGACAGATGGACGGATGGACAGACAGATGGATGGGTGGATGGATATGTGGTTGGATGTCTGGGAAGATGAGTGTGCAGATAGATGAGTGGGTGAGCAGAATACTGGATGGATGGATGGATATATGGATGGATGGATAGTTACACGGATGGATGGACAAACAATGACTAGTATCACACTAGTAGATTCTGGGCTGGCCTGGGGCAGGTACTGGGCAGGGCGGGAAGCTCCATCCTTACCTGCTGCAGGATGTGCTGCTTGTGATGTACCCAGTTGGCCATGGAGTCCACGAGTTCCAGCACAGGGATGCCTTCAAAGTCGGGGTTCTCCTCGAATGAGTCGCGCCCAGCGCCGCCCTCCTCCTCTTCATCGCCCTCCTCCTCGCCGAACTGGTAGAAGCCCAGCGGACTGACGTGTGTGGCAGCCGAGATGCGCGCAATCTGCGCCCGCAGGTAGTTGGCCTCGTTACCCGGGAAGGGGGGGTAGCTGATGACCGGCGTGTCCAGGAAGCCGGTGAAGAACTTCTTGATCTTGCGCGCGCCCACGATCTGCGCGGGCGTGACGTGTGGCAGGCGCGTCCACGGGCGGCCCGGCTCATTGCACACGAAGTACAGGTATTTGTTGGTGCCCGTGCGGCTCTCCTCCTTGGGGACAACGGGCGGCGGCTTCCACTGAGGCTTGGGCACGGAGTCCACCACCTTCTCCTCATCCTCCTCGCCCTCCTCCTCACCGTGCGTCTCCAGGACCTCGCCTCCCTCCAGCTCCTCCACCTCCTCCTCTTCGCCTTCCTCCTCGCCCTCGCGGAACTCCACCTCGGCCACCAGGTAGCTGCGGCTCAGCCCCAGGATCTTGCCCCAGAAGCGGCACGTGTGGATGGGCTGCTGCTCCACCAGCTGCCTCAGGGCCAGGAAGATTCGGAAGCTTTCATCCGAGCTCAGCCCCACGCCCGCCTGCTCGAAGTAGAAGGCTGTCTCCATGATGTTGGGCACCGGGCTGTCATTCTGCACAGGGATGGGAGAAGTGGGTGGAAGAAAGGCTGAAGGCTTCCTAGCCTGATTCTCCTGCCACGGCTAAGCCACCACTTTGGAGAATGTCCTCGGGGAGGGGGTCCTTGGTGCAAAAAAGATGAAAAGAAAACCCTTTGCTCTTCATCCTGACAGAAATAAAGGATGTGAAGCCTGGAGCCACAGAAGCTCTTTGGGTACCAACGGGCAATACAGGGGTGGCCATACTCTGCACCCTAACAGTAATCGGGTGAAAGGCTTAATTAGCTCACAGAGACACTGCTGGATTGCCTTACTACCCTGGCCTTCTTGTTCTACTGGGGGGGAAAAAAGCCACATTGGTGCCACATATCTTCAAAACCAACACTTGGAAGGCAGAGGCCGATGGATCTCTCTCTGTGAGTTCGAAGCCAGCCTGATCTACATAGCAAATTCCAGCCAGCCAGGGATATATATCATCCTTTTCCACTGTGTCCATGAAGGCAGGTCAGGTGGAGAATGGAGGGTGGGGGGACCAGAAAAGTGACAAGGACCCTGGGGTGGGGGTGTGTCTCTGGCACGTGGCCTCCGCAGGTCACCCATCAAAGCGCTTGCCTTGCTCTAGGGATTGCCTGTCGCTGGCTCAGTCCAGTCTGCTGTGGCCTGAGCTAAAGCCACTGAGAAACAGGCTGATCTGGACCTCCAGCTGGTTCTAGTCATCTTTGGAGTCTCTACCTCAGCTTCACATGGTATCTTCTGTGTGTGTGTGTTCCACTTTGCAAACCTCTAGTTGCTTATTCCTACAATTAGAATTGACATTTGGGATGTGATAGACGCTTCATACTAAATATTACACTTTCAGTATCTAATATAGTTCATTCACTTTACCAGAAAAACCAAAAAAATATCCATGACAGAATTAGAACTGGAAAAATAATTATGTCCCCTTTCATGACTCGTGTCCCCTGCTTGCATTCCATCCCCCTCAGCCCTATAGCCGGCCCCCCTTGTTCTCTTTCCCTCCTGTTGTACTGTGCCCACACATTTGTTTTACTACATCATGCCATATTCCTGGGAGGACAAACACGTGGCGTGTTTTCCTTCTGAGGTCTCAGCCTCACAATAGTGTATGCTCCAGGTCCACCCACTTCCTGAAAACTGAGTATTATTCCATCACACGCGCGTACACGCACGCACGCACACCAAAATTTCATCCAAACTAGGTTGATTCCAAGCCTCTGCTATAGTGAATGAAGAAGTGATAAACAGGGGACAGTATAAACATCTCTGATGGGGTAGAGAGAGTCCTAGGGATAAGCCCAGAAGGGAAACTGCTCAAACATATGATGGTTCGGTTTTAAGTTTTGCAAAATCTCCAAACTGATTTCCACAGCGGTTGTATTAATCTTGACCTCCAACAACAGTTAACTGAGGTTCCTGTCCAAATCCCTGCCAACATTTGTCAGATTTAATAAGAGCCATTCTGATGGAGGTGAGGCTAATTAATTTTTGGTTGTTTGAGAAAGGGTTTCTCTGTGTAGCTCTGGTTGTCCTGGAACTCACTCTGTAGACTAGACTGGCCTCAGACTCAGACATCTGGCTGCTTCTGCCTCCCCAGTGCTGGGATTAAAGGTGTGCACCACCACCACCTGTCTTTTGCTTCAAGTTTTAAATTAAGGTCTTCAATCTGTTTTGAGTTGTTTTTTGTATAAGGTGAATATGAATCTAATTTCATTCTTTGTTTGGTTGTTTGTTTGGTTGGTTGGTTTTTTGAGACAGGGTTTCTCTGTGTAGCCTTGGCTATTCTGGACTCGCTTTGTAGACCAGGCTGGCCTTGAACTCACAAAGATCTGCCTGCCTCTACCTACCTGAGTGCTGAGATTACAGGTGTCTGCTGTCATAACTGGCTTTTTTTTTTTTTTTAAGCTTACTGCACTCAGTATTCCCATCCAAGAACTACTCAGGCCTAAGCCTGCTTAGCTGATATCAGGCACATTCAAGGTGGTATGGCTGTAGACTAATTTCATCCTTATGCAGTCAGAAATCCCACTTTGCCAGCACCGTTCCTTCACTAGGCTTTTTGTTTGTTTGTTTGTTTGTTTGTTTGTTTTTTCCTCCAAACTATGTTTCTGCCTCCTTTGTCAAAACCTAAGCAACCATCACTTTGCTGTTCAGCGTCCAGGTCTCCAACTCCATTCCAGTGGTTTACCTGTCTGCTCATGCCCGCATAGGCTGTTTCTCATCATAGTGCTATGCTATGATTTCATTTTATGCGATATCTTGTGGCCATCTCCTTTCCCCTCCTCCAGCTCTTCCCAGATCCTCTAACCTTCCTACCCACCCGCCTTCATGTTGTCTGTCTCACTGAAGTATACTCTGAGAATGGGGACTGTGATAGCTCAGGCAGGGGCTATCCTTGGAACTGCTCTGGTTCTGTGTGGTTTTATGCTTCCACATGAATTTGATGGTTTTCTCTGGGTAGTGCTGGCTGTCCTGGAACTCACTCTGTAGACCAGGCTGGCCCCAGACTCTTGGACCTGCCTGCCTCTTCCTCCCATATGCTGGGATTAAAGGTGCTTGCCACCATGGCCCAGCTGTTTCTCTCTCTCTCTTTTCTTCTTCTGTCATTTTTTAACCATTGATTTTGTATCCCGAAACTTTACTGTGTTTATTGGGCCCAAGAATTTTCCAGTCAACACAATAGGTACTTTTAAATAAATAATCATGCCAGCTGGGTGGTGGTGGCACACACCTTTAACCCCAGGATTTGGGAGGAGGAGGTAGGCTGATCTCTGAGTTCAAGAACATTGGTCTCCAGAGTGAGTTCCAGAACACAGGGAAAGTGAAGTTCCTTCACTTTCTATTTTGTGGAACAGGTTAGGAAGAATTGGTGTGAGGTCTTCCTTAGTGGTCTGGCAGAATTCTGCGTTGAACCTGCCTAGTCCTGGGTTTTGCTTCAAGAGAGGCCTTTTTACCAACAGCTTTTTATAGATCTGCTTAAGATTACGCATGGTGGCACATGCCCTAATCACAGCACTCAGGAGACAGAGGCAGGTGGGTCTGCAGAGTGAGTTCCAGGACAGCCAGAACTATGCAGAGAAACCCTATGTTGAAAAACAAAACAAACACAAACTCAAATTCTTCTGCTTCTGGCTTATCCAGCCTTTTCATGTGTAAGTCTTCACAGTAATTTCTAACACTGTTTTGTATTTTGCTAGAGTTAGTCGTAATGACATTCTTTTTGTCTCTAATTTTATAAATTTGTGTCTTTACCTTTCTTTTGTCAGATTGGCTAAGGGCCTGTGTATCTCACCTCCTTAAAGAACTGATTCTTTATTTGGCTGACTTTGGGTACTGTCCTTTGCTTTCAATTTCATTCAGTTCTTCCCTTCTTATTTTGCGCTGTCTGCTGTAATGAAAGTTTTGTTTTCTTCAAAAACTCAGTTATGTTACGAAAGCATGTTTTTGTCTTAATCCCTAGTGTGGGCTATGGGACTGCCTTAAGTTTGTCCACAGCTGATAACAGCCTCTTGCAGCTCTGAGAGGGGCGGGGCGTGGTCTTTGCCAGCTGGTAACAGTCTCATGAGGGCTCAGGGGAGTGATTTTTACCAGCTGGAGTTAGTGGAATTCTGAGGATTCTGGGAGAGTATAAATACGAGAGCCCGCAGAGCAAGAAGGGTTGGTGGCTTAGAGGAGACAGTTGGAGAGAATGCTTCTGATAACCCTTCTAGAAGAGGACTGCTTGCTGCATTTGCTGGTTACCTGGACTGCTGGATATCCTGATGACTGAGTTTGGTATTGACCCCAAAGAAGCCGAGGACCCTACCCCCAGATGGAAGAAGTAAAGAGGTTTATGTCATTTTTCCTTCTAACCTTCTTTCTCTCTTACCTAAGATTGGGAGGTTGGAAGGGAGGTAGAGGCTTTATTAGAACCCCAAATAAAGTAGAGTTAAAAATAGCAGTCTGTGGTTTGGGATTGGCTGCCCTTGCTTTTGAGATGGGGTGCATCATTTGGTTGCTTATCCAATGTCTCAGCTTCTTTAACACTTATCACCATCAGCTTTCCCCTTAAGAGGGTCTTGGCTGCACCCTAGGGCTTTTGATAGGATGTGGTTTTGTTTTCATTTGTCTCTGGAAATTTCTTCATTTCCTCTCTGACTTCTTGGATGACACACGGTTCATTCAAACGTGTGTTTAGATTTCAAATGTTTTTGTAGTTTCTATTGTTGACATTTAGGGTTTTTTTGTTTGTTTGTTTGGTTGGTTGGTTTGTTTGTTTTGTTTTCTGACAGGATTTCTCCTGGACTCACTCTTAGACCAGGATGGCCTCAAACACAGAGATCCACCTGCCTTTGCCTCCTGAGTGCTGGGATTAAAGGCTGCACCACCACCATGTCTTGATTTTTAGTTTTATTGCATTGTGATCTTCAAGGAATTCTTTCCCTCTATCTTTCTTTTCTTTTTTTAAGATTTATTTCTTTATTATGTATACAATGTTCTGCTGCATATACACCTGAGCTCCAGCAGAGGGCACCAGATCTCATTACAGATGGTTGTGAACCACCATGTGGTTGACTGGGAGTTGAACTCAGGTCCTCTGGAAGAACAGCCAGTGCTCTTAATCTCTGAGCCATCTCTCCAGTCCTCCCTCTATCTTTTGAGACTTGACTTATGTCCTCTGATATGTCTGATTTTGGAGAAGATCCCATGTACTGCCAAAAAAAAAAAAAAAAAATCTGTTGGGTGAAATATTCTGCATATAGCTATTAAATTTGAACTCATCCATAGCATATTCTAGCTCGGAAATGCCTGTACTTTTTAGTTTGGAGGACATAGCTAAATGTGAGAGTGGAGCATTTGCTGGTAGGGCTGGAGAGACTGTGGCAGTTAAGAGCGCTTGCTGCTTTTGCACACACTGGAGTTTAATTCCCAGCATTCATGTTGGACTGCTCACAGCCACCTGTGACTCCATGGCCATGGGTCAGCTAGCCACATCTGGCCTCCAAGGTACCTGCATACATGAGAGCATACTCCACACATGTGCATAAATAAAAATACATTTTTGAAAAATTGCAAACCACCATTTTGTTTGTTTGTTTTGTTCTGCTTTCTGAGACATGGTTTTATTGTGTAGCCCTGGCTGTCCTGGTACTCCCTCTGCAGACCCAGCTGAAAAGCACAGTTTCTTTGCCATGATTTCCACACGGTGTTCATGTGGCCTTAAACGCTAGATCCTGCCTTGGCCCCCCGAGTGCTGGGATCACAGGCATGCACCCCTATGAGCAGCCTCACTCAGTCTTTAGGCATGACGACAGCTTGTTTGCCTGTTGTCACTGGCAGTCTCTAAGTGCCTGCTAATGCAAGCATGAGGACCCAGTTCCATCCCTAGAACCCTGTAAACAGTCTGGTGTGGTGCTGTAGGCTTGTAATTCCAGTACCGAGGAGGCAGAGGCAGAGGATTCCTGGATTCATTGGTCAGGTAGCCTAGTTAAGGTGGCCAGGAGGGAAGGTTAGGGAGCAAGTATGGGGAACTCTTTGGGTCTATGTCTGGTACAGGCAGTAACACTGGTGGCTATCACTTTTCTTTTTTGTTTTAAGATTTATGTTCTGTATTTCATGAATGCTCTACGCACACCTGCATGCCAGGAGATGGCTGTGAGCCATCACGCAGTTGCTGGGAATTGAAGTCAGGACCTCTTGTGCCTACATTACCCTCAAACTCAGCCATGTAGCCAAGGGTGGACTTGAACTTCCAAACCTTCTGGCTCCATGCCCTAAGTGCTTGGATTGCAAGTATGTGCTTCCACAGCCAGTTACTGTGATGCGGTGGGGGTGGAGGGGTGTTGATGCCAGCGCTTCCTGCATCCCAGCTAAGCACTCTCCCACTGAGCTAGGTCCCCAGATGCTTTTTCAGTTTTGGGAATCAAACCCACAGCCTTTTGAATATTGGCTGTATATTGGCTGTAATATTTGAATATTGGCTGAGCTCTATAACTCAGCATTTTTACTGATTGCCATTTTCTATAATGTATTTCTCTTTCTACCACTGAGCCACATCCACATCCTCAACCCCTCACTAGGGGATTCTAGGTTTTACCACCGAGCTAAACCCTCAGATTGGATTTTGGGAGGCATACGGGAGGGGGTGTTAGGACGAGATCTCCTAGCTGGGTGGTGGTGGTGCAAGGCCAGCCTGGTCTACAGAGTGAGTTCCAGGATAGCCAGGGCTACACAGAGAAACTCTGTCTTGAAAGCAAACAAAACAAAATGTTTTTTTTGTGTATGTCTAGTCTGTGCACCGTGTGTGCCTGATACTCTCAGAGGTCAAAAGAAGGAATCCCCTGGAACTTTCCCATCCAATTTTTTTTTTTTCTTAAAAATGGGATCTCGTGCATCCCAAGCTATTTGACCAGATGGTTTTGAGCTGTCATGTGTGAGTGTGAGTGTGAGACTCTGCTGAGCTGTCTCTTTAGCACCAGGTTAGACCCTTCAAAATATCATAGTTAGCCGGGTCACACCTTTAATCCCACTCGGATTAAGCACTCGGGAGGCAGAGGCAGGTGGATCTCTGTGAGTCTGAGGCCAGCCTGGTCTACATAGTGAGTCTAGGACAACCAAGGCTACACAGAGAAACCCTGTCTCAAAAAAACAAAAAAAAAAAAGAAAGAAAGAAGAAAAGAATATATTACTGAATTATGTGGATCGGAGGGCAGCTTGTGAAGTTTGCTTTCTCTCTCTACCATGTGGGTGGGTCCTGGGCTCTCAGGTTGTCACGTTTGATGGCAAACATCCTTATTCACGGCGTCATCTCACCAACCCATTTCATCCAATCACAAATAAATTGTTATATTATTATTATTATTGTGCTAACACTTCGCCCTGAGCCTGGGAGGCCAGACACCTGTCTGTGTAGCCCGTGTTAGCCCGACTCACAACACTCCTGCCTCAGCCCTCTTGGGCTTTTCCACCAAAACCAACCAAACAACAACAAAACAATGCAAAAACAGGCCATTTGACCTGGAACTCACCAGGTAGCCGAGGATGAGCTTGAATTTCACTCCTTACACCACCAAACCCAGGTTACACAGCGCTGGGGATGGAATCCAGGGCTTTGCGCATGCTGGGCAAGCTGTCAACCACCTTGAGCCATGTTCACAGCATCCCACCAAAACTGTAGGCATCACCCAATTCAGGAACCAATGACGTAACTACTCTGAGCATGGTAGAATACAGGTGGGAGTGCTCTTAGCATGTCTTAACTTATAAATGGGGAAACTGAGGCAGGAGCTGAAGAAGGAATGGATTCTGAGTTGAGAGACGCTGGAAGGCAGTAGGAAATGTTTGTGGAGAGGGAGGGACGATGAATCGTTCTGGTGAGATGAGAGACGGGGCTTCTTCACCTGACAGCCAGGGACAGCTTCTGGAAGGCCAAAGTACTTGTTCCATGCTCCTAAACCTCGTGTGGTGCCCCAGATACTCCCCTGTTGGCACTCAAGGCCCTCTGTTGCCCTCCACAGGCACGGTAGATACCATGTGCATTGCCAGTCACTTTTGTTTCCACCTTAGCACAGGTTGTGACGTGGGCCAGTGTGTCCTTCTTGGTCCGTGCCCCCCCCCCCACTGCCCCCTAGTCTCCCCTCCCGCCTGCCCACACCCCGCTCACTCACCACTTCCTCTTCCATTTCCTGCTCGCCTTCTCCACCTCTGCTGAACAGAGCCTTTTGCTTTTCAGCCATCTCGTAGGTGGGTTGCATCTCAGGGTCATCCCGCAGCGTGTCCAGTTTGGGGTGGAACCATTCCCACTGAGTGGTGCGGTTCATGGACTCCAGAATGGACAAGGGATCTTCGGGCCGCTGGTTCAGGATCTTGGTCAGCAGGTTCACCAGGTGCTCATACCTGCCTTCCAGAGCAGGGGTCAGGGGATGGGATGGACACTCGCTCAGTGCACTGAGCCTACTGTTCTGTGCCTGTCCCTCTGTCTATTGCTAGGAACACAGAAGGGAACAGAAAATGTTCCTGCCTCAGTGGGAGTGACATTCAGATGATAGACACAAATGGCTAACTATAGCCAGGATGGTGAAACGAAGCCCTCCCTTCCAGCCTTCTCTGTAACAGGATCTTACTATGTAGCCCAGGTTGGCCTTAAACAAGAAATCTGCTAAATGGCCATAGCCAATGCAATACGGCATGAAAAGAAAAGAGGGAAAATATATTAAAAGAGAATAAGCAAAATTGTTGAGGCTCACAGGTCCCCCCTGGGGTTGAAGGAAGATCTGAGGATGGGAGTGTGCCTGGCATACTGGAAAAAGATGGAGGTTTAGGTAGCGGGAACAGAGAGAGAGAGGGTTGAGAGTAGAGAAGAAAGCAGAGTCGTAACAGTCCCATGGCAGCTTCCACAGTTAGTTAGTCCAGGCACCACGCGAAGCGTTTCAGAGCAATTTTTGAATTCTTGCAACAATTATCACACACACACACACACCAACCCTCCAGATGAGGGAACTAATGCTTAGGAAACCTGTAGTCATGGCTCAGCACCCTTTGAAGCCAGGCTGATCTCATCCCAAAGCAATTGCATGAGCCTTTCTGCTGCATGCAAACCGCTCTATGAAGTCTCAATTGCGTGGGAAGTGGAGAGGACCCACGCTGTCACTGGGAAGGTAAAGAGACTGGGCTGGTCAGGTAGCTCAGTGGTTAAGGTGCTTGTCTAGCTTGCAGGATGCCTTGAATTCAAGCTCCAATACCGTAAAGTAAGTAATAGAACTGTCTTGGAGGGAGCTGGAGAGATGGTTCAGCGATTAAAAGCACAGGCTGTTCTCCAGAGGACTGGGTTCTGTTCCTAGCACCACCATTCAGTTTCAGAGGATTCTGTGCCCTCTTCTGACCTCAGAAGGCACTGCAAGCATGCGGCATACTTAACAAACATGTAGGGAAAATACTCATACACTCTAAATAATTTGTAAAAGTATCTTTAAAAGGCTAGAAAGACAGCTCTGTGGTTAAGAGTACATACTGCTCTTGCAGAGAACCAGAGTTCAGTTGCTACCACCTATACCAGGAAGCATACAACTGCCTCTAACTCCAGTTCCAGGAAAGAAATGCCCTCTTCTGACCTCCACAGGCAGTATGCACGCGTGCGCACGCACGCGCGCACACACACACACACACACACTTAAACAGATAAAAATGGAAAAAGAAGTGAGACAGCCCCAGGGCATTTTAGGAAGGAACTCTGAAGTTCTCATGACCGGAAATGTGAGCCAGATGAGGTGGCACAGGCCTGTAACCCCAGCACTCTGTGAGTCTGAGGCCAGCCTGGTCTACAAAGTGAGTCCAAGACAGCCAAGACTATACAGAGAAACACTGTCTCATAAAAAAAAATTTTTTTAAAAAAGAAAAGACTGGAAATGTGTTGGTGAAACACATACAGGTTAATTTTGGCTGGATCTGGGGCCCGAGGGAGGCAAGTGAGGAATGGGTAGAGACTGTATGGACAGTGCAGGGTCATGCCTCCTGGCTGTCCTCTTTCAGACACTAGGCAAGCATGGAAGGGACAGAACCAGCATGTGCTCGGGCCAGCCTTGTGTTTCCTTTTCTTCTTCCCCCTGTGGTCCCACACATAACAGCGCCCTTCCAAGGCCCTCGCGTTTTGTGCAAGGTGTTATCCCCAGGTCCCCCCCTCCGAGTTGCCACCTAAGTCCTTCTCATTGACCATGCCACATTGGACAGCATTCTCTAACGCGCCCAACAGGAGGGGGCGGGGACAGTGACTGCAGCTCAGCGACTCTGACAAGCATCCTCCTTAGACAGGGAGGCTAGCAGACAGGAACAGGGACCTAGGAGCCAGATGCCTTGTCCTAGAATAGTGGTTCCACCCACTTCTTGGCTGTGTGATTTTAGAGCAAGCCAGTCTCTCTGGCTCAGCATCCTCCTGTAGTAACAGGTGGAGTGGCTGTGATTAGATGTTATTTCTCCCTCAGCTCTGCTAGGTTAGATGCCCACAGAGACCCCACACCCGAGGCAGCCTTGGCTAGAGCCCTTCCCAGCCTTCTGCCCGCTTTCTCCACCCTCCACCTCCTCTCACAGGCTGAGGTTGCAGCTCACGCTGGTCTGCAGCAGGTAGGCCTTGGCATTCTGCACTGCCAGCTCTCGGGGCTCGGGGTCAGGCATCTCTCCCATGAAGGGCATGAAGCCCAGATCAGAGGGCCCTAGGTTGAGGGCAGGGTCGTCCCTCAGGTAGGGTCCGTGATGCGTGGCCTGGTTGAACAGCTGTTCCTCTCCTGGGTACATGTTGAATTGGCCCAAGAGGCCGGCGCCCGAGTCCTGGTAGGAAGCCTCCAGTTGTTCTAAGAGGGCCTGGCCCTGAGGGAACTGCATCAGTCTGCTCTCATCCAGGTAAGCCTGTGGTGAGAACTCCCCGGGAAAGCCAGACGGGAAGGTCATGGACTGTTGGTACTCCAAGCTTTCGTCGCCCTGATTATCTGAAGACAGGCTGGACCTCTGTGGCAAGTGGAGCAGGCCAGTCCCCAGGTCCTGACTGCCCTGACTGGCCCTCTGCGGAGGTCGGCGCACCCCATCCTCCGGGATATTCAACATAGGCTGTGATGAGTCTCGACTCCGTGCTCTTTCTGAGCTTTGGGAAGCCCTCCGGCTTTGGGAGGAAGGGTCTGAGTTGGGGTTGGGCAGTGGATCCCCCATGACTCGAGAAAGTGTGCGGACCTGTAGAAGGAAGCTAGCTAGTGCTGGCTGGGCCTGTACCCCGCCTGCCCTGCCGTTACATTATCAGCGCGGGGCGCCTGCAGCACAGGGAGCAGTGCGCGCAGGCGCAGTCTAGCGCGGGGCTCTGATTTCAGGGTTTCTAGCCTGCGGCAGAGAGGACACTGCAGCCACAACCTGAGTGCCACCTCCTTTATTTGTGTTAAGGCAAAGCTCCAGGTGACCCCGTCCCGCCCCTCCCCCCAAACTCCCGCAGCTGTCAGCTGTTCCCCTTGCTCTCGGGTTCCCTGGCCTCCGGGCTGGAGGTCTTCAAGACTTCGTCCACAGCATGGCTGAGGCTTTGGGGGCTCCGCTCATCCTTGGAGCTCAGCCCGACTGCTGCTGCCTCCTGGTGGCGGGAGAAGGCAAGGGGCAGCAGGTCAACAGCTGGTCACCCCCTCAGCCCACTGCCCAGAGCTCTGCTCCTGCCTCCCTCTGCATCTCTGGCTGTTGCCCCTACCTTAGGCAGGGGGCCCTCGAGACTAGAGTCCAGGAGTGTGGTTTCGGCCAGCCCTGAATCGTCGTCCATGCTGATGAAGATGGCCGGGGTCTCACTCTCGGGACCCTCCTCCCGGTATTCCATAGCTTCCTCAACCGGTGTGGGACCAGTTCGCGCTGTCCCTGAAGGTGTTGAGGACACGGAGGGCGCAGGCGCCACGCCTGTGGGCTTCAGCTTCTGTTCCTCCTCCAGCTGCCGCTTCAAGGCCTTCTCCTGAGCCAATCGCAGGCCGATGAGGTCCTGAGGGGGCCGTGGGGCAGGGGCCGGGGCTAGAGCCAAGGGCTCCAGGTCATCCTGGGAAAGGAGGGCCACTCAGCTAAGAAAGGGCACGTTCCCTCCTCCTCCTCCTCCCCATCTCCGGATGGAGGAGACTGAAAGCAGGGAGGGCACAGTGCATAGTCTCTCCATCCGGGTACAGAGGGGAGGGTGGGTGGCCATTCCCCTTCACCAGGTTTGCAATCTTGGGTGACTTGTGGGTTAACAACTGGGCCACATTGCCCTCACCTCCTCCAGGGGCCCTGAAGGTGCTTCCTTGACTTCCGGCTCCTGCTTGCCGCTGGCTTCCAGGATGGTCATGATGGAGTTGGGGATGTGTGCTTGCTAGGGAAAGGGAAATGCAGAGGCCAAGGCTATAGCGAGCTCTGGCCAGAGGAACCTCTCAGCGCACCCTATACCCCACAACTAAACCCTTCAGAGCTCTCCTGCTCACTTGGGTCCACTCTGCCACTCAGGTACCTGGTGGGGGGTGAAGGAGCGCACATGGGCCAGCAGTGGCTCCCGGAGCTCAGGGCACTTGTCAAAGACCGCACCAAGCTGCTGCGGAGGTAGCTGCAGGATGACCTGGAAGCTCTGGGGCTTAGTTCGCTGGCAGCACTTGATGAAGCCCTCCCATACCTTAGGGTACTTCCACACCTGTGGGATTGGGGGGGGGGGGTCATTAGGCACAGGCCCAAGCAGCCACATCTTTCCCACAGCCACAACCTAGGGCCCCACATGCTGCCAGTTGACAGCGTACTCCAGGCTCATACACCTGCCTGCCAGAAACTTGCCTTTCTCATAGGAAACTGTCCTAGGACATGAGCCAGGGAAGAGGGGACCCTGCCTCCACTCCCTAGGTTAGCACAGCACCAAGTGCCAGGACAGCACCGCCTCAAGCTGTTGTGGTAGGCACCTCTAGCTGGTGCCAGTAGCTACATAACAGGCTTGGGGTGCTGCACAGGGGCAGCCTTTGGTCTGACCCCAGCTTCGGATGGAGGATGGACTCGATCATTTCCAGAGTATTACTAGTTGGTGTTACATGCTTGTAATTCCAGCACTTCCGAGGATTCAGGCAAGAGGATCACCGCAAATCTGAATTCTTGGTTATTCTGAGCTACAAAGACCCTCACCCTATCCCCCTAAAAGAAAACAAAAAACCCAGCCCTAATTCTAGTCTTTTCTGGATGCTTTCAGCTGAGCTATGTGCCCTGTGGTGCCCAGAGGTGGGGTAAAGGCAGGCACCCACACCTCTCCTACCTCTAAGAGTCTCCCTGAAGCCAGTTGGACAGAGCTGGCAGAGAACACTGCAAGAAGTAGGACAGGTGTTCCAGAGATAGGATTCTGAGGTTTGCCCCACTGTGGCTGCCTGCTGGAGCTAAGGACAGGTTACCTGCTTCATGATGAGTCGGGCCAGGATGTTCATGACGAAGCCCCCCAGGCGGGGGTACATGGTCAGGGACTGGATGACGGTCCTCATGAGCAGCATGGGCAGAGGACTTTGCTCCATCAGCTGCTGCATCACCACAGCTAGCACTTCCGAAGTGTACACATTCCGCTCCGCAAAACACAGGTTGGTGGCTACGAGGAGGCGGAGAGTGGGCCTGTCCTCTCTGCCTCGATGTCCCCCATAAAGTGGAAACCCCACTCCCCAAGCTTCTCCACCCTGATCACAAAAGGCTCTTTATGAGGATGCTTAATGGTCCTGCTCCTAGAAGACTGAGATAAATGCATCCAACCCCTGGATAACACACGGTGGACCAACTGCAAGACCACAGCTTCTTCCCTGAGGACAGCCCCAGCGAGCGGGCTGGAGAGCATCCTCTAAACTTTGGGGCCTGACCTAGCGTAAGGAGAGTGGGTGTCACCCACTATGGGGAGGGGGGAGCTGCTGACAACCCTAGCAGCCACAGGAGAAACAGATGGGTCTCTGACAGAGGCTGACCGAAGTATGAGGGTCTGTGATGGTGCATGGCAGATAAAAGGGACATGTAGCAGAGTAACAGGAAGGGAGGGGTAAGAGATAGTGGTGGGAACCAGGACGAGGACCCAGCTGAAGGCAGTGCCCACAGGATGTGGAAAGATGTCACACTGAGGAAAGCCTGGAGCAGGCCTTGCTTGGGGGCTAGCTCCTGAGAGTAGGTTGGTAGTATCAGGGTTAAGGGAGCTGAGGGGCGATCCCAGGAGATGCCTCTGAAGTCCTTCCCCAAACACCACTGGCCATGTGAGTGTGTCAACCAGGAAGTCTTTATTGAGCCAGAAAAAAAGACCCCAGTCCCAATCCCTGAGAGGCCAATGGAGGGGAGGGTGGTCCTGAAAGGAGGCTAAAGAGAGGGAGGCACTGCAGCAGATGCACAGGCTGAAGGGCAGAGAGGCCTGCCAGTACTTGAGGAGGAGGTGCCTGCTGCTCTGTGGAGACACGCTCCACTGCTGCCCAAATGGACCCTGACACAAGTCTACCCAGCCTCCTCTTGTGCTTCTCACTCAGCCTCTAGCCCTTCCCAGTCAGCAGCCCAAGGGGTCTTCCGAAAGACCTGTTCTCCACCCCAGAGGCTGTAGGAGGCCAAGGCCAATTTCCTCTCTCACTTGGAAACCTCTGCTCAGCCCTAAATCTGACCAGGCTCAGCACACTACCAGCTCATCCCTACTGGTTCTGTTCAATAAAGGTGACCCCATTTCAGGAAGCCCTTCCTTAGTCCCAGCTAGGCTGGATCAGGCAGTCTGTCCTAGCTGTGTCACCAGTACTGTGTTGGGACTGCTGATTGGTTGGGCAGGAGTGCTGGGATTCCACAGACCCCAGGAAAGGCAGGGTTTTCACTTGAGCAGATGGCTGAGAGGTGGAGAGCTGTGGGCTGCTGGGGTTCTGCAAGCCTAGAGGTTGTGCACTGACAAGTGTTCCCAAAGAAACTTCCACAGTCTACTAGCTTTTGGCTGGGCCCTTTTTTCCCTCTTTGTGACTGGATTTCTAGTCTGGATCCAAGATGGCTGGGTGTTTCCAAACCCCTTCAAATTATGCACAAAGAACCCTTAAAAATGGAGTGTTGTGGGGCCAAGACTGTTCTCATTGCATTTAAAGGATCAAGGCATGGCTGGTGGTAGAACACTTAGCTAGTCCATGTGAGGCTCTAGATTCTTTCCTATCATTGTACAAATTAAAAGAAAGAATTTGTTTCTGTGTGAGTCTACAGCCAACAACCCTGGAGCACTACCTTTGAGACCTGTCCCCAGTCCCTTCCCTTGCGGCCTTCCTTGGCCTGTCTTCACGACCCCTCTCCTGCCAGGAGCTGCTGAGGAAGGCTAGGAAGGCAGTCCCTGAAACAGCCACTTCAGGCCAGACAGGAAAGGTAGGGACAGAGAGGAAGCTACTTTGAAGTGAACAGAGAGGATGGGTGACAGGCAGGATCCCCTCTTGGGACAGAGTTGATCCTGGCCCACAAGTTTCTGGGGGAGGGAAGAAAGGAAGGAAAATGGTGTCTTCCCAGGGGAGGCTCATGGGCAGAGCCCTTTTTGGTTTGGGTTCAGCTTGTTTCTAGTTGTGTTACATGACTAGCTTCTGTGTGACCCCAGCAAATTATTTAGCTCATGTGAACTCCGTGTCCTATCTACACCATACTTACTAGGAGTGTGTGGGCTCATGGCATGAGGGGAGAGCCTGGCAGAGGACACTTGGCAGACTGTCACCAAGCCCCTGCTATGGAGGTCCTCCGATGACTCAACTCATGCCAGCAGCAGCCCTGTGCCTCTGACTTGCTCTGTGGGCTCTGCTTCCTTGAGCTCCTCAGGGTAGGGTGGGAGGGATGGCCCCTAATTCCCAAGGACCACCTGATGCCTGGCATAGGTTTGTATGTGCTTTACATGGAGGCCAGGGTGGGGCAGTCGATAAGTCTTCGTTCCAGTGGAGCCATGCAGGTGACTGAGGCCCTGCCCATCTGTGGGAGCTGGGCCATGTGGGAACAGGGGTGCCTCACCTTTGATGATGGACTTCATGTCACACTTCACTGAGTCAATGTTGTGCAACGCAATCAGCAGCTCTCCCGGATTCAGGGGGGACAAGGCTGAGTTCCCTTCACCTGCAGTGAGTGGTAACAGGGGAAGGGAAATAGTACAGAGCAACCTCAGCAAAGAGCTGGGTCTCAGGCCAGGCTTGAGGAACAGTGAATAAAAATGAGGCACCCTCTGCTTCTTGGGG